TACAAGTACCAGGGCTCATTGGAAGATGCTCAGGCTGAATTTGGGGACAAATTAGCGATTGGCCGCCTTGGGTTGGCACTGTCCGACAACAGACCCCCTCGGTTGGTTGTCGACTCCTCCGTATGCGGGGTCAACAACCGTTGTGCCATACCTGAGCGCACGACACTGCCCAGTGCTCAGGATGTAATGCGTGTATATCCATTAAGGAACACCACTGATTCGATGGTTGGATTTTCCCTTGACATCAAGTCAGCCCACAAGTTAGTGGTTATTCGAGAATCTGATCGTGGCCTATTAGGATTTACTTTGGATAATGCAATATACTTTTATAAAGTGGCCCCTTTTGGGGCTACTTTCAGTGCATTTCATTGGACTAGATTGGGCAGCTTCATTTTACGTTGCCTACACTGCCTGCTGTGGTGGTCCCACGGCGGATTTTTGTACGTTGATGACTTCTTCTTCATCTTTCCCAAGAAGGTGGCTTGGATCATGGCTTGCCTATGTTGTATCATGGCACAGATTCTCAACATTCCTATTTCTTGGCGCAAAACTGAGTTTGGCCCACGAGTTCAATGGATTGGCTGGCAATTCCATGTTACAGCAGGATACATCAGCTTGCCCACCAACAAAATCGACAAACTTTCCGATTCTATTTCTTCCATGCTGAAATCCACGCGGACTTCCAAAAAATCACTGGAGAAATTGGTGGGATTGCTCAACTGGGTCACACAGATATTTTTACTGATGAGATGTTGGCTTCCGGTTCTTTACAAAGATCTATATCATATTCCCGCCAGCCACTATAGCATTGACCCGGGCAATTGGAAGCACGTGATTGACTGCCTTGATGACAATTTGATTTTCACTCAAACACCTACGGGTACTGGAATTCCTGTAGGGAGTACTCTACTTGCAGTGCGCCATCAAGCAGTCCAATGCAAAGCGGATCTTCATCAACTTTATTTATCTGAGCGTCGAACTTGGTTACGTCTTAGAGACCCTAAATCCATTCGACGAATTTTGAGCGC